AGTCAGCGGTTTTATGATTCGTGAGCGCTAGCGATTCGTAGAATCGTTGATTGTGACTGCAAGTGGATTTGAAGGGTTTTGTGTTTCGGACGCTTGTTTTTGGCCTTTTCTTGTGTCTAACATGTGCAGAGTATCATTATAACGTCTACTGGTTTTGAGATTCCTGGTGGCGTGAAATATATTTGTGAGAATATCTTTTTGAGATTTTAACAGTCACGTTTTGTTTGTAGTTTATATTTTATTTATTCATGTAATTATCGTAAATAATAGTTATTCAATAATAGATAGTTCATCCATATATTCGTACTTTGACGCGAAGCGCTGTGGATTATGAGATGCTCGATGACCCTGGAGGGATCGATTTTGCTTACTGAGCAGAAAATCATAGATTTAACCCCAAGCTCTTCAACAGCACAATAAATCGCCACCATCATGTGTATATTTGATATTAAACATTAACCTTGGAAACTATTTGCATATCAAGCGAAAACGTAGTCCTGTATTGTCGCGAAGCGTTATGGTTCTGAGATGCTCGATGACCCTGGAGGGATCGTTTTTGCTTACTGAGCAGAAAATTATGGGTTTAATCCCAAGCTCTCCGTCATGACTCTTAAAATTCATTATCACTAAACAAAATTAATATGTTCTTTCGATAGCCGGCTATCGAGAGATTAAATAAACAACAAATAAACAATACATACTTTTGGTTGCATCGCCAACTTGAGGTGAATCCTAACCGAATACCCTACCCAACCCTCCAACTCCGTAGCACTTATGAGGGTGTCGCTAAGTCGGTGGCCTCTCGTTAAGTAAGTACTACATCAACATTTCCTTCCTTATCCCTAGTTATGGTAAAGATGGGCGTGGCCGGGAATAGCGACAGTCATGCTTCTGTTACTCTTGTTTAGATTGGAACCAATGTTTACTCCTCAGCATTATTCCTGAAAGTAGTCTAACTGAGAATTTCAGAAGATACGTGAGTGTCGCTAGTATCCAATCTACGAAGTATATCATAACAACGCTAACGCTAACGATAGATCTGAGGATTTAGTAGTTAGTGTCATCTTGTGTTCTCCCAAGTTGTTAGCTGCCCATCGGTGTACCCCCATGTTTGTCTTTTTCATCAGAGTGTCGCTTAGTTCGAGATCAAGAGCACATTGCTCTCCAAACCTTGTGTTCACAATCCCTACCCTGCCATCCATTTGTTACAATTTGTCACCCCTAACCTCGAGATAGCCGCGAGTAATCGGCCCCCGCTTTACTAACGTTAGTTTTAAGTAATTTTGTAATCTAATCAATGAATATTGGCTCAGCAAAGCTACAGCAAATGAGGCTGGAAAAATAAACGCATTAAAAAAAAAAAGTTTTTGAATGAATCACGAACACCGTGGATCTCGCGACACGCAACACTCGTCTAACTTCTTCTCACCGGGACCGATAATTGCACACGCACACGCAGAACAACGCGATCTGAGACTAGGAGAAGTGCGCCTGCCGCCGATGTCGTGCTGTATCTTTCCACTGATTGATAGAACTCTGTACCAAAACTTAAAATCCCAGGGAACCAGCAGAACGTCAAAAACGAAGACATGTTGAGTTCAACCTGAATGTTGGAGATTTGACAGCCGTAGTATAACATTGATACAAAATGGCGGGTCTTTATAAAAATGGTCGATATTTCTGAATGCACTGTTGTTGTAATTACAATAACAATTTAAGTTCCAAGATGGCAGACTATTTTTAAAAAAAATATTCAAATGGAAATTAATTTAAAAAAAATGCATTCAAGATCGTGGGTCGTTGTTAAATTGTTCGATCTACTCATACATGCATAGATATTATAGTTATCGGTGGAGCCCAAGGGTTAAAGTAAAATAGTAATATCTTTTTGCTCAGCAGTCAAATATATTAACGGTCTTGGACAAAATTGTTCTGCGTAGTAGTAACAATCTAATTACCTGGTTTGGTAAAAAATAGCTCTTTTTAGATTATAGAGGCATGGGTAACATGCAAACTCATAGCTTCATTGCATTTCCGTTTTATGATTGAATGCCTATTCTGCAGTACTGTATTGTTATTATTATTATTATTATTTAATTAACGACATTTGACCGTATTCGTAGCATTCGTTTCGAACAAACTTTATAGTCAGTTATGAAGATGTGCCTTTTGTTATAGTAGGTAATTTTGAAACTAAATTTAATTATTTGAGAAAATTTAATCCAACGAGCTGTCAAAACAAGCCTCTACGTCTTTCACGTCATTAACGAACAAATTAATGAGTGTTTTATTAAGTTTTATGTGAGAGTCAATTATTTCAGTCAGGCTTGTTATGTCTTCATAGCGCAAAGAGCAAACTTTACAGCTTTTCAAATTGAGAAGAACGATTTGTCTGCTTTATGAAAACATATTGAGGAAACCACAAAACAAAACGGAGGAAGAGTGGTGTTCCCGTTTGCGAATGACGTTGAAAACTAGCAAAAGACTAATACAAAAAGTTGCTAATGGGATTCGAACCAAGGACTGTGGGATGCAAAAACACTTACCTAACCAGTTAGTCCAGCGACGCTTTACTTTTCTCTTTTTCTGATCTAAGGTGGGTACATCCCTGCTTCCAGAGGCAATGTCAAAAATATGTAAAGGGTGTCCACGATGAAATTGCCACACACAAAATTGATTCGCAAAATTCGAGTTTTCATCCGATTGCCATCAAATTTTCAGGGATTGAGAAATAACTATTAAACTTCATTTTACCATTTTACTCGTATTTTATTTACAGTCCATACGCAAATGCCCGCACCTTGGCCTTAACCCCGGCCATAAGATTCTGCACAACCTGTGAATCAACCGTTTTTTGCATGTAAACCCATACTTTCTTCAGTTCCTCGACTGTCTTCACTACCTTAGGTCGTTTAAGAAGGCGCTGCTTCATAATCGCCCAGTACTTCTCGATGGGGCGGAGCTCCGGAGTGTTGGGAGGGTTGAACATTTTCGGCACGAAATTGACCTTATTGTCCGCATACCACTTCAGCACGTCCTTGGAGTAGTGGCATGAGGCCAAATCCGGCCAGAAGATTGTTGGGACGTTGTGGGCCTTCAGGAGAGGAAGCAGCCGCTTCTGGAGGCACTCTTTTATGTACACCTGTCCGTTCATCGTGTCCTGGGTCACGAAAGGTGCACTCCGCTTCCCGCACGTGCAGATGGCTTGCCAAACCAGGAATTTCTTCGCAAATTTGGACATCTTCTGAGTGCGGACATGCTCCGGAACGCTGAACTTATCCTTGGCCGTGAAAAACAGGTTGCCGGGGATCTGTTTGAAGTCGGCCTTCACATATGTTTCGTCGTCCATGATGCAGCATTCAACTTTCGTCAGCATGTTGAGGTAAAACTTCCTGGCACGGGTTTTGGCGGACTTGTTCTGCTTCTCGTCGCGATTAGGGGCCTTAGGTGCAGCTTCTTAGCCACATCCCTAACGGAGGCGTTCGGATTTCGGTTGAAGGCCCTAACTACGCGGTTGTGATTTTTGGTGTTGTACGGAATACTTTTTCCTTCACTTCTGGGCTTCCGATCGGTGGTGAACCGTTCCTCGAACCGCTTAATCACTCGCGACACCGTGGAATTCGCGATTCCCAACGTTTTAGCGATGGAACGATGCGAGAGATCCTTGTTCTCGTGATGAATGCGCAAGATTTTATCACGCGAGTTTTGATCACAGGACTTTAAAACTTGCAGGATGTAAATAATGCACTATGAACTAAATCCACCCAAATTTTCATTAAATTCTACCCAACGGTTAAAAAGTTAGAGCAATTTCATAGTGTGGCAATTTCATCGTGGACACCCTTTATGTCAATATCGCGTACAAGCATTCAATGGCAATGACAAACCTCAGCACTGATCACTAATACTTTTGTTAACTGCCAATAATACTGTTATTTAAAATAAAACAGCAAAAAAGGGTTATCTTCCATTTAATTCCACTTAAATAATTATGGTAACCATGTATCCTGTGATCTTGACATTTTTACCAAGGAGATGAGTATATAAGGTGGTTAGGTTTTTGATAAGTCTTTAGTGGGAATGACACTGATGAAGACTGCTAGTCGAAATACGTATCTGTCATGAATACCAACATTATTTAAGTGGAATTAAATGGAAGATAACCCTATTTTACTGTTTTTTTAAAGCATTCCGCTAACAACCCAATTTCATTACTTCACCTGATTTTTTTATTCTCACGTGATATGATGTGTCTTATTTGTGTTGGATCATTTTAGAATGCAGAATTTCCACACATTTATTGTCGATTTTAAATGATATTGTTAAATAAATTTACGTTAGTCATAATTTGTGAATTGATTCAATGCTCGATTTCTAGTGAATGATTTTGTGCAGCCCTTTTTTTTTCGTTGGCATCATTTAGCTCCACTCGAGCATATCTACCAATGAAAATATCTCACATCACTTTGTTCATTTTATAACATCCAAATCAACATTAATTTAAAGCATGGTAATGACCTCCTAGCTACGTTTCTATGGAAAACACCAACCCAAAAGCGTTGGGCAACGTTTGGGCACGAAAATGCACGGATAAAGGAGTCTTTGTTTCTCAATTTGTAAATGAAAATTGTTTAAATTTTTCGTATCCATTCATGCTGTGTGTCACAAAACATATAAAGTAAAATGTTGTTGTTTGTCCACCCTTCTGACCTATTAATCGTTTGTCATGCTGCTTTTATCCTGCGTTTCCTTTTTCTCTACACAGGAGGTATATTTTCCATTTGGTTCAACTAGCAGCTCTAAATATTAGTAGCCTTTTTTGTGCCCGTTAAATATTTCTCGGGAGTTATACACCAAACAATGCAAGGCGAAACAACCCGGCGGTGCCATCAACGTTGAAATATCCTTCTGGACATTATTGAAACAGTTTCTCCACTGTACTGGATCGCATCCATATATGGGTGTGACTGAAGACGAGCCTCGGTCGGTGTGGGATCGGCATGCCAAAAATTAATTTGCAGTGGGCGATAATCCCCTTATATCTGGTCGGGAAATTGTTTTGCCTGAACGCATTTACATACAGCCTTGGCACTGTTTATCACGTCGCCTACAAGGATGACACCCATTCCGATGGTGATTATAATGATGCCGATGATGACCAAAACGCTCAGGGAAAACAACCCGAAGGGAGCGACGGAATAAGTGAGGTGATGGTTGACACCGATGGAAATGGTACGTATGAGTGAATCATGTGCATTTGGGTCATTTATTTGAGTGTTAGATAGAAATTGGTGGATTTTCGGAATTCAGTTGATTCTATTGATGTAAAATTGATTAAATGTTGCATATAAGTCAGTTATGCTATTTTGCAGCACCCAGCTTAACGCAAACCGACAACATCTGTGCTAACAACCATTATCGGGGCGGAACAATTATAGCGGATGGCACCGACAACAGCGGCAACAGAATCATCAGCATTTTACATAACCATTTCCGTCGACAAAACCTGGAAGCCAAGAGACGCATCAAAATTTCAATTATAGGAACTGTGCATGTGGTGGCTTTGTGTACCGCTTATGCCGTCTATCACGTTTACTCGGTGCATTCCAAATTCTCGGATCGGCAGCGGCCGAATCTGGTCCGGGTGGCAATCGATCTTACCTCCCAGTACGCTGGATTATGCCTGGTGATTATACTAGTAAGTGCAGCCCTCGTCAATCAGCGCTCGCTAATGAAGCTCATTAACGCACTTTTTGAGATTGATGACCTATTGATGAGCCGATTAAATATTGCGGTCCCGAATGGGCGTTGGCTGACGTAAGTATAGGAAGGACGGGCTTCTATGTGTTAGATCTTGTTTAACGCTTGGTTGGGCTTATGGTTGCACTTCTAGGTCGTGCTTGATAAAGTCAACGTTGAAAGCAATTGAAGTTGGTGTTGTTCACTTTAGACTAATGAGCTAGTTGGAAGTCCTCTCAACTGTTGATGACCACAATCCTGACTAACCAACACCGAGTGAGGGGAAACATTATATCTATATCAATCACATCATGCTGTTTGTACCTTTCATGACATACATAATGACAAATTTTGTACCTTTCATTTGATGTTCGTATTCAATTTAGTGGTTGCCAAGAAACTATCAAGATATTGCTCGACACGGCCCATAATCTTTTGCACGAGCCCTGTTTCCACTAGTTTAGCTGCCAAATTCCATTTCCGCTTGAAATCCTTCAGGTCAATTGCAGTTCCACCCTTTTCTGCAGTATGTGCTGCACAATTGACCAGTATTCCTCAATTGGTTCCGGAATAGACTGCTGCTCCAGAGAAGGCTATACCAATCACATCATATGCAATAAGCTTGAAATGAGAAGAAGAAGAAGAAGAAGAAGACGCGATTGAAATATTTCACTACTGAACTTATTCTAATTGAAAATCGATAAAATATTTACAGAAAAGTGTGTAATTTTTAAAGTGCGAAATAGACGAGTGGTTATCAGGCGGGCCAGTAATCTTAACGTTCATGGTTCGGTTCCAACCTGCTCCGTTTTTTCAACATTATTTTTCATAAGGCAAATCAATGAATTTCATACCGACTTCTTGTGACTAAAATTCGTAAGTGGTTCTTATTCATGTGTTTCACTAATACATTTTTGCTAAAACATTTTTGCTAAAACATCAGTCTTATCTTCTTCTTCGCATTTCAAGGTTATTGCATATTGCGTATTAGCTTATTGCGTGCTTACGACTTAGTGTTCTAGATGCTTTTTCACAGCTATTAATTGAGAGCTTTCGATGCCTGCACCATTTCTGCATTAGTATAATTGTGTGGCAAGGTCAATCATACTCTATTTCCCAGGGAAGTCGAGAAATTTTCCAACCAGAAAAAATCCTAGACCGGACTAGAACATGGTCTTGCTTTGTAGCTGCGACTGAGCTAAGGGAGGCCTCTTATATATTCAGCCTTATACATTCCATAAAAAAGCCACATAGGTCATGCCACATGCATTCTTACATCAACGGTGTGTTTGACCTAGGGTGCCAATGAACGTTTGGAGAAAAAATGACCATCAAATTTGAAGAAGATACACCCTACAAAAGCCTCGAAAAACGACCCTATACAAAGTTTGAGCTTAATCGGACTTGATTTAGGGTTGGCGCAAAACGGTCATAGTTTGACCATTTTCACTCTCGAAAATTTCCCAAGCGGGAGAACATAAAATGTGGAAATCAAAAATTTGTTTTCGTTGACAAATGGCTTAAAAATTCATGAAACGTTGTGTTCTGGAGTTATCTTACAACAATTTTTGGTGTCAAAAATCAACTTTCTGGGACTTGGAATATTTTCATAAGTTGCATGCGAGATTTTCAATATTGATAAATTGGCTTCTAAAACTGTTCACAATCGTCTCCAAACTACTTTTATATCCATTCAAACCAACTTGGTCTCCCGATAAATATTTCTATCATAAAATATTTTCCATATGATGAATATTCAAACCATTAGCATTCGAAACCACCCAGACACTATATATAGGGTTACGGGATGTAATGTCAGCTTAGCTCCTTACTTCGGCCTATCAAGCAAATAACTAATTTATTCAGCAATAATACATAATAGTAAAGAAGAACTAATATCACATCTGATGGGAAATTGTAATCCGTAAATAAATTGCCTATTTTTGGGACAAATTTAGTACTCTTTTTTCAAGAAAAATTGAGTGCAATTTTCATATTTTTCGATTTCTAGGTGCCATGATCTTGCCGTATTATTGCACGAACAAAAATCTACCCTACAGTGGGCATAAAAAAAAACCTGATGATTTCATGAATCAATTCAAGAACTTTTTTTTTTCCTGTTTTGGGGACATAATACCACCATAACTTTGATCTATTGTGGTGTATCCTCTTTTGACGCAATGGCAAGATGCTATTTATATGAGCAACCACCACTACTGTTGTTGCCAATTATCCCAAACAGGTAATGCATTCCTTATGAAATGTATAACTTGATTGGGAGAAGCAGACAGGATTTCCCAGGGTTCCATAAGCCCATAGGCGTAGCCAGATAGGGGCAGGGGGGGGGCGACTGCCCCCCCCTAAACTCGGCAACACAAAGGCTTTCGAGGAAATGGCGTTCGGTGAAATGGCATTCGGCCAAATTTTCCATGGTAATTTTTTTTTCGCCCCTCCCTAGCTCGAAACCTGGCTACGCCCTTGCATAAGCCCCTTATCTAGATATATACGTCGTTTGTGAAATAGTGCAACGCAGTCACACAGTAAATGTTTAGAGCTCTCACTCTCTAGTTTACAAAAACGGCATCTGTCTTCATCAACTTTTCCGATAAGCTTAAGGTGATATTTACTAGGACAGTGTCCTGTAATCAAACCAGTATTTATACTCAAATCGTGTTTCGATAAGGTCAGCAGTGTTTGTGTGTGCAAAGCGTTGGGCTCTATGAAACGTTTTGATTGCCAGGCATTTAAGGTATTATTCCAGTTGCACTGTACCTTTATTCTTTCTCAGTTATTGAACTCCATTTTAAGAGCACAAAAAGATAATCCTAAAAATGGTTCAGGTCCAATAAATTACAGGAACCCAGTATAGGTTAACCTTATTACAGTAGGACACATGCAGCAATAGCTTAGTGCATTCCCAAACCAGTTTTGAACTGCAAGTTTTGGACTTAAGAGCATTCAACGCTGCTTGGCTATCTGAACAAATACATACATATGTTTGCATTTTTATAATTTCTTTTTAAGCAAATCGTGGCACATTCTAGGATGGCATATATTTCAGCTTGAAATACTGTTGGCCATTTTCCCATCGGCACCGATAGGCTGATCCCAGGACCACTTATTCCAGCCCCAACCATATTATCTTGTTTCGATCCATCCGTATAGAATACTATTGACCCAGGACGAAAAGATGGCCCTCCTGTATTCCAATCATAACGAGTCACTTCAGGAACTTTGAAATGGTGATTGAAGTTGTTACGCTTTAACATCCAGTCTTCATTCATTAAAATTAGTGGACTTATTTGAAACTCTTTTAAAATGCTCAGATGTCCAATAAGATCTCCATCAAAGAAATTCATGGACCGTTTGAGCCTCAGAGCACTTTTCATTGCATCCATTTGAATAAATTGATGTAAAGGAAGAATATTGGGTAGAGCATCTAATGCCTTCGAAGGCGTACTACGCATTGCTCCAGTAATGGAAAGAGTAGCAAGTCTTTGTAACTTGTTCAATTTAACTTGTGCCGTTTGTTGTCTGGTTTTCGGCCACCAGATAAGTGATGCATTAGTGATTCTGGGTTTAACAATATCCGAGTAGATCCAATGTATCATCTTCGGCTTTAGACCCCATTTTTTACCAAATGATCTTTTACAGACCCAAAAAGCATTTGTTGTTTTTTTGTATTTGTTGTTTCATATGTCTGTTCCAGCAGAGTTTACTATCTAGGATTACTCCCAAATACTTAACTTCTGACGACAGTGATAATTTAACATCTCCTAGTTTAAGATCAGTGGTAGAGACTCTACGTCTTTTGGTAAAGGGTACAATTGATGTTTTCGTAGGATTTATGTTCAGTCCTTCTTGTGTGCACCATGATAGTGTGAATTTTAATGCTTTTTGCATTCTATCAAATACAATTTTATCAAATTTTCCGCGAACTATAATAACAATGTCGTCAGCAAATCCGATTACTTCAAATCCTTGATGCTTTAACTTTAAAAGAAGATCATCAACTACCAGAGACCACAGAAGTGGAGAAAGAACTCCTCCTTGAGGACAGCCTTTTACAGCTGTTACTTTTACTAGTGCATCTCCAAGATTAGCTGATATTTCTCTTTTGGATAGCATCTCCACAATCCATTTAATTAGGTTTTCATTAAAGCCACGATTTCTCATGGCGTTTATCATTGACGAAAAAGACGCATTGTCAGATGCACCTTCAATATCCAGAAACGCTGCTAATAGAATTTCTTTTGCTGTGAAGGTTTTTTCTATTTTAGTAACTAGCATATAAAGAGCTGTTATGGTGGATTTGCCTGACTGATAGGCGAATTGGGCTTTACATAGTGAAACATGAAGAACATCTGATTTGACATATTCATCTATAAGTTTTTCTATTAACTTAAAAAATATTGATGAAAGACTTATTGGTCTAAATGATTTCGGTGAAATTTTGTCTTTTTTGTATGCCTTAGGTATGAACACCACCCGGACTTGCCTCCATATTTTTGGTATGTACCCTAGAAGAAAGCTCGATTTGAAGAGCTTGATTAAAATAGGAATTATTAAAGTTTTGCATTTTTGGATATGTGCTGGAAAAATTCCATCTACACCTGGGGATTTGAATGGGCTGAAAGAGGCTATTGCCCATTCTATAAACTTGTTAAACACTACTAGTTCACAAGAGTTATTCATTCTAGTAGTACAATTTTGTTCTTCACATCTTAGAGATGTATCTTGTATGCAGTCAGTAGTAGGACTAGAACCTGGAAAATGAGAATGCATCATCATTTCCAAAGTTTCTGTTGCATTTATAGCTTTTTTAAGAGCTCCCAGGCCGTTAGAATGGTCCTTTGAGAGAACTTTATGAAGCCTTGCAGTTTCAGGAGTGCTTTCTATGTTTTCACACATGTGCCTCCAGTCTTTTCGCTTGGATCTTCTTATTTCTCTGTTATACTCACTTAGAGCCTCTTTATACTGAGACCAGTTTGCTGTGCATTTGGCAGAATTGAATAGTTTCCTAGCCCTTTTCCTTAGTTTTTCTAATCTATCATATAATATTATAAGCCTGATTTATA